AATCCCAATGCTCTGGTGCATCACGTTTTTTTTGTCCAACGTATTGAACACGCCAAGTTTTGGATGTTTAAAGTTCCAGACACATACCATAGCTGGATCATTGAAGTGCATGGTATGGTGAACAAACAGATGATTAAAACATGTCTTGTCTCACAACTACACCCATCAGTGATGGTCAAATTCCAACCCCTGACCTTGGCAGTCTGGGATTAACTTCCTTTTTTATGCTTCCTGTTTTCCCAGGAACTGTATCCCAATGTTTGGCAGTAAAATGCATCTAGACGCTCTTCTAAAAGAACCTACACACAGAATTGAGACCCATCGTCTTTACCAAATGTTTGCTGTTGCGTTCTCAGCCGTCCAGGAATTGACGATTCCTAGACTGTTGATACAATGGGAGAGAAAGCTCAGCCGCCTTGTTTATTTAAGATAACTTCAGTTCAGTTCTGTGCTCCTTCATTAATCCACCATACAGACAAAATCTTCATCTTTTTCTTCTTTCATGTCTCACAGTTTGATTTCTCCAGACTCATCCACTTTTCTATCAATTAGCCCTTTCCTTTCACCTCTCTGCCAGCTGTTTTTATTAGTGTGTTTTATCTCTTCTCTTACACCACCTTCCCAGCGTCTCTTCCTGGCAGTCAGACGAGCACCAAAGCATCTTTTCTAGGAATCTTGTTTTTACCGTCCTCCTACTCTAAAGTACAAACTATTAAATAATACAAGGGAGGTTGGTCTTATCGCAGAGCATTATTGCAACATGTTATTGGGTGATGATGTTGAGAGGGTGCTGTGGATTATTGGTTTAGTGTTATAGCCAGGTTCAAGTGAAACAGGCCTGAAAGGCTCTTAGCAGAGATTACCCTAGGTACTAAAAATAATAGTTTTGGCCCAATTCAGTCACAAAAGCGATGAAATGTGTCTAGCCTGAGCAGATGAGCATCTGATCTTTCTCTCAGTCGCATAAAGACACCACACATTTGGTAGCGTTGGTGTGATGTCAGAGAAGGGTATCCACTAGGGGGGCCATGGGATCAGCTGGGGCAACAACACCAAACATGCATCAATCAGCAGCAGTCGCCCAATGGGACCGTGATTCGAGTGCGTGAGAGAAGAAGACATGCAGCAAAGCAGCCGCCATCAGACCCAAGGATGTTCCTTTGCTCTTTTTCCAAACATTTCCCAGGGGAGATTTTTTTGTTGGCCACATCCACCCTCTCTGTTTACTATCCCTTTTATTTATTCCACCCCCACCAACGCTCCTTCCTCCTTTTCAGGCGGTCTTTCCAGAAGCGACTGTTGTGGGCCAGAATATATTTGTTTGCCACTGCTGCTCCATCTTCTCATCAGCCAAGAACAAATGCTTTGCCTTGGGAGTGAGGAGGCAGTAGTAGAAGGAGGGGGGTGGGAAGGACAAGAGAGCCCACAGCGGGATGGGAGCTCTTGTTGTGGAGTGGATCTGACAGACGCTCGAAGATGACACAGGCTTGGACAGCCTATGTCTGCATCTCTCCCTACTATACATCTGCGCCTCTTTTTCTACACCCCCTCTCATTTGTGCATCTCAGAACAGCATGACTGCGGGTCGGAAAATGCAGTTCGACAGTGATGGAGGATTTCTCCCATCAGACGGTGCAAACAATGCATCAGTGCAGTAAAACTGTGAAGGAACTTGAGATGAGGAGAGCATGGTGTCTTCTAATAAGACTCACTTGAGAAAAATCATATTATACAGTAGAATATGATAATTCATACACCCTTTTGCTGGAGCGGTGAACTGGTGCGGGTGGTGTACTCTCAAATGTCAGCATAAATTTGCAAAATAAACGCAACCGGCATTCAGCAGGGGAGTAGGAGTGGAGACAATAAGGGTTTCTGCTGTTTGTGTGCATGACGATGGCTCTGAGAGGGTGTGTGACTTCCTGCTCGCTTCTGTTTCAGCTCACAGAAGTACATCACCAACAAGTGTTTGGACTACGCCATGTTTATATGTGTTAGTGGAAACGGCCTGAGGAGAGGTGTGTTTCTGACAAGCAATCAAATCAACCTGCCTTAACGTAAGAATAGGAAAACATCTGTTCAATAAGATGCAAACACACCAGGACAAAGGTCCTTAAGGCAGTTTGAAGACTGATTCCATCACATCAAATCCGGTTAGTGATATGAAAAGTGTAGACCCACATCGGTGTGCTAACTTGTCTGATATCATCTTTAAGCCTCAGCATCTTATTTTACTACCTACTAAGCCTACAACCTTTTACTTCCAATCCATGGGCTTTGTGTTTGGCTGGCCTAAATCCAAGCTTCTCCTCATCCACGTGACCCTTCCTCTACCCATCTGTCCCACGGTCCCGTTGCGTCTCTGTCTCGTCATTTACTAACCTTTTCTGTTTCTGCTTTTTTCCCTTGCTTTTTTTTTGTCCCCACCTGTCAATCTATCGTACCGCACAAAGAAGCACAATGGGTCAGCTGGGAAACGATTGTCTCACGAGTCACAGCTGTAAATTCCTTCATCTGCATACGCGTTGATGTGGTCGCACCCGCTGCCGGGACATCCCCCCTGGAATTCGAAGGAGCCAAAACCACGGGGGTGCATTTCTATCAATCAACTGGTTGAAGCTCGACATGAAATCTGAGAGGAGACCTGCAGCTAGAGCGACACGGGGTCACACTTCCAGGCTGTTATCTTTGGATGTACACAGAGAACTTATTGGGACTAACTACCCCTTAACAACTGCAGTCAAAAATAGACTATGGACTTTCACGGTCGGCTCGTTTTGAAGAGGTGTCGAATGTGCCGGACCGGGAGCGATAGCTCTCAAGGCAGGAGTGGCGTGGCGTATCATTCCCGACATTTTGTGCCAGGAACAGTTCGGACAGCGGCAAGGAATGGAGCTAAAGGCCAGTCAGTTTGTGGACAGTTTGTGATCTAAGGCTGAGGGTGCTAACTAAAAGATCACACAGACGGAAACATGGACCAACGGGCACTGGAACACACACTTAAACAGCTCGAATAGGGTGAAGACAATCTCTAATCCTCCCTTTCAAAGTCTAATAAAACTTTATTTGCTGCAAAGGCTCTATAACCACGTTAAACCTTGCTTTTTCACCTGACGCCGTGTCAGATAGAACCTGAATAAAGGTTCAAGCAAACAGCAGGTTTTCGTCTTTTTATCAAAGCTGCGAATCCTTTCTTCAACCAGTAAATGCAGGTTCAAGCTTGCAGGGAGCGAGCTGTTTGATGGGGGGGGGGCGACATATAAAAGGGGTACAGCTCAGTGCGACAGCTGCACCCAGCTGTTACACATGTTCCTCAGAAGGGCCTTGATAATCGGCGTCACTGAGGGCAGGTTTAAACTAAAACGAAGAGGTGAAATTCAAAAAAAGTAAATAACACTCTTGCAGGTTTTCCTTTTAATCCAAGCAGTTATTAACACTTTTGCTAATCTCCATCTTTACAGTGGATGTTTTTCTACTCCTTGCAAAAAGCCAATCATGGGGGGCACAGGAAGTAGAGCTGCTGCCTTCTGATTCTTGCCAAGGAGCGAACTTTCCTCTGTCAGATTAAGAAGGATTAGCTGGGTTCATGCTGCATGTTGAACTCAGAACTTCACATGGGGACTAGTAACTTTCCAAATTTGGAAAGAAAGGGGGGAGAAAAGGTCGGGAAGATGTATTAGTTGCTTTGAAACTCCAGTTCTCACAGCTTAGTTAGAAGCCCTTCTCTCATTGTACTCCTACAGCTGACGGCTCGTTGAGCATGTGAAAACATTGCCCGCGTTCTTACGACGATTTACAGAATTTATATGGAGGCGAGCACATGCTGGGGAGAGAAGACGTACGCGCACGTGCAGGTGCACGGATATATCCCACATCGTGACTCATGCCAAGTTTCCTCATCGGTGGGGAAGCTGAGTCTCATTGTGTAAAAATGACACACACACTCAGGAGCACATGCACACACACTCTTTGGTATTTTTATCTGTCCCCAGAGCCGTATCATTCTCAGACTATAGAGGAGCCACGGTCACAACAGGTCATACTTAAGGACCCCCCTAAACCAACCCCATTGTGAGTGTGTGTGTGTGTGTGTGAAGGGGGGGGGGGGGGGGGGGGGGGGTGTAGACCGGAGAATGTGTGGCGATCTAAAGAGCCTCTAAAAAAGGTGTTGGATGTCAGATGGAGGAGGCCGAACATGGAAAGAATTTGGTCTGTTATCAACTGCTGCCTGCAGGATCACTGAGGACACACACACACACACACACACACACACACACATATAAGCAGAGACCCTGGAAATGCGAGCACATGACAGGGCCAAAGGCGGGCACATGCACTGGCTCCTCACGCAGGGTTTTTCCTCCCGAGGCGAGGCTAAAGCATCCAATCTCAGCCTTTCTTGTCTATCTCTGGCACTGATAAAGGCTTATAATGAACTGGGGACTGGAACTCGGTCCCAAGACTGATGGCTTTATGGCCCCGGCCAGATCATCACCCTCTGTGGACTTCGCTTGCCACCGGGTGAGAACAGGAGAAGGAAAAAAAAAGGTGCCAGAGGGAATGAAAGGAGGAGGAAATGAGCACTGGAGGAGGGCAAAGATTAAAGTTTTACACTTCAACCTTTGAGAAGCCTTTTGCAACACAGCCCCATGTTTATAGTTTACTACAGACACATTCTTTCAGATCTGAGCCGCATAAGCGCTCACTTTTGATAAGCCAGCCTACCGTCGCAGCCACAAGCCAAACAACAGGGACAAAGGTCCTCCCGGGCTTATCGTCCTTTACCTTATCTCCCCTATTGTGAAATGTAAAAGTGTATTTGTAAACTAGTAACAGTTGTAAAATTTGTTTGGGTTGCATTCAACAATACGATAAGGTACTGTGCTTGCTGAGCGTTGTTGTTATTCCAGCTCCATCGCTACCCCTTTGGAGTGATGACACCGCCACAGGTGCGACGTTCACAGCATCACAAATGAAACTTTTCTCTAAGCTTCACTTACCTCAAAAAGATTGGAGGCATCATTCCCGTACTGAGAGGAGATGATCTCTGATTGGTCACTGTACCATTTAAGGCCACCCAGGAAGCTGTCGGCGTCCAGGTCACTGACGTCCAATTCTGAGAGGTCAAGTTCGGGGAGGTCTGGGCAGAGGGGCTGGTCTTCACCAAGCAAGGCAGCACACTGGAGAGGAAAACACAAATCAGCCACGATCAGACACAAAACTAAATTTGGTCACGTGAAACCTACAAGAATTTAGGAAGCGTCTTACTTAACCCAAACCACATTGGTTTAAGTCAAACTTCCCAGGTTTTATCATAATGTACCCACTTTCACACGTGCATGTGAGCATTACCCCCTATTTAATATTACCGGGGCAGCCATGATGGTTTGGCAGCCATGTGCAGCCTGTTTCCACTTGGCTCGACCTGCTGTACACAGTGTGCTGCTGTTTGTGGTGGCCTCTCCGCTACTAAACGCTGCCTGTTGACATTTCGTTATTCACCGGACTCCTTTTTTTTCATGTCATCGAGAGCCAGTGCATGCAGTATGTAGCAGCTGTTTCTGCTTCCTGTGCACACAAATCATCAGCTGCAGAGGAGAGAAGAGGACTGCGTGGGGCTCGACAAGAGGGAACCTGTTTTTTTGGGGGGAATAATCATTTTTTAGCAAAAATGGAACTTTACCGGTCGTTTCGAGTGTCTAATCTCTTTGCCTGCGTGTAAATCCAACCCTGTCTCACTCATAATTCAACACTAGACGTTTAGGAACGCCACAGGGAGGCGTTATGGGAGACATTTAAGATGGATATCCTGAGGCGAAGCCATGAGGTGTTTTGGACCACAGACTTTAGGAGTAGGGTTTGCATGTGGGTTGGAAAAGAAAACCATCCAGGTGTGTCGGCGTCACACTTCGTGTATCCTCTGAATGTGCCAACACTTCAATGTGATGAGACAAAAATCCACCCACTCCCCACCCCTCTGGTGTAACAAAACAGCAACCAAACCGCTCCAGTCCTCCGCCACTGGACGTCCTGGAGTGGATTATCTTCGGGATTTCTCGGAGAAACTAATGAAACAGCGTCGCCAGCCCCACCAGATGATCTGGATGATTTGTGCACGCACCGCGCATGAAAACACCTGCCTGGCTGGCTGGGGGAAGTTGCTGCGGTTCGGATGGGAGATTTCTTGTTTATTGGTGATTTTATTTTTGTAAGCATGGATAAATAAATGCAATTTGATGGAAGAGAGGCTGCTGGAACGCGTGTTAGTTACCAAACAGCCTGAATTGCAAGGAAATTGCAGAAAACGCAGATTTCAGATTCCTCGCCCGACTTAGCTCAGAATGACACATAAAGCAGCAAGACCGCAGACTGACAGGTATGCACAACAAGCAGAATAAAAGAGTGATATAAATGGAAACGAGGACGAATCTAAAAAAGATGGACTTTATATCGATGCGACGCTGCTCCGTTCAGGTCGGGATGTTCTGGCACAGCCCGGTGCCGTTAAAACCATGATGATCCTGCGCGCATGCCATGACCGCGCTGGCTCTGCCTCTTCATGGAGCTAAAAACATGACTCTTTAACTTGTCCCTGCGATCAAAGAGGATACCTGATTCTGAGTCATTTCTGTCATTTCTGCATGAAAGCCCTCGCGCTTTTCCCTAAATATCTCCGGTCGGAGCGCGAGCCGTCCGTGGCTGGGAAGCTCGTCCGTCTACTCAGGGTGGAAGCGGTGCTCCTGGACCGCGTGCACGTTTGACAACCTCTAGATCTTTAACAGAAGTGCAAATAAACATCCCCATCCGCTTGTCATCCATCCCCCCACGGGGGTCGGGTGCAGGGTCCCTCGCATCCTCCACTGCTTCCAGGCGCGCAACACCAGAGAGCCTCGGCGAGGAAAGCGCAGACTTGTCCAGGATTCCAACAAGAACGGGGAAAATAAGTGTAATGAAAAATAAATAACTCTCCAGGAGGCTAGATGATGGGGGGAAAGTCGGATTAAAAGATGTATTTCTAAGGCGCGCTCACCTCTAATTCTCTCCACACAGAGTCCTGGTTACACCTGTCCCACGCCATCCAGCCAGAGTGAATGACGGTCCGAAAAACAAATGAAAAAATTAAAAAAGGGGGGGAAAAGAAAAAAAAAGAAATCAAGTAAAAAAGAAATCCACACGCGCGCTTCCCACTCGCTCTCGCACAGGCGACTGCTGCCCCCTCGCCGAGACTGAACCGAGGGCACCTGTCTTACAACTGCTTTCCATCACATGACAAAGCTATTAAAAGTAGGCAAGGGGAGTGACTCCGGGTCCACTCAACTCAGCACTGACGCGCAGGGAGTGGGCGGAGTCTGGCAGCGCGTATAGTAACGTCCAAAAAAAGAAAAAACTTACCAGGACCTGCTAGGAACAGCAGAGTCCTGCTTCTGATGATGCCACTTCCAGTCAGCTGATTTCAAACACAATCTAAATAAATGGCTCCAAATGTTTTCCCTTTATTAATACACTATATCAGACTGCATGTGGCTGCACGCTGGACAGCGGGTGGTAATGTTTTTGCCTGTTGCTGTGCAGGAGTTTGTTAGAGAAATATGTTTTATTTTTTATTTTGCAAAGGTAAAATGAAATCTAACATGTATGTTTTTGGCCTGTATGGTATACTTGCAGAAAACCCATGCATACATGAGAAGAACACAAACAACGCGTCTGAGATTTGAACCTGCAACCTTCTCACTGCAAAAGACATATTTAATGAAACTCTCAGATAGAAATCACTAGATATTTATCTACAACTGATAAATCATTGGAGTCACCCAGATTAAAGCAACAATCCAGAATCCCAGAGCGTCGGTACTGACATGCGATCGTTCATGTCGGCTCATTTCCTTTAATGTTTTCTGTCTTTTATTTGCGCCTGATGCGTTTCGCTGCTGTGGAGCGGGGCGCATCACCTTGTCCTCCGGTGACGCACCGATCACTGATGCGGCCGCCAAGCAGCGGGCACTCCGCTGTTTTTGCGGTCGGTAGATCTTTTAGAACTGCAGTTCAAAGGTAACTCATAAGGTGAATATATATGAACCCAGGTAGCAGTTTTTCTTTAGGATTGAGAGGAGATGCAGGAAGATAATAAACAGACAGGACAGAAAAATAGTCAAATAAAAACAAGTTAGTTTTTGTACCTGGTGGTTGAAACATACAGACACCACTGAAGGTAATCAGAAGTGAGGAACAGAAAATGAAATAATTATTTTAATGTTTAGAGCAGCAGGAACTCCGAGAGGCTGCAGGCGCATCAGTGAGTTTGCGGCCGCTGCGCAGGGGGAGGGGGGAGAGGGCTGAAGCAGAAACTACCGTTGTTAAAAGAAATGTGTTTAACTTAGAAAATGTGGGCGCAATTTTAATTGTCAAAAACTCCAGCAAACCATTAGTTCATTTTGCTCAAATAGAAATAGAGGCCTGCCTCTAATTCTGGTCCTCCTTCCAATAAAGGCCTGGAGCTTGATGAGCTTGAGTCAAATACAGGCCCGGGCCTGTATTAGAGGATTTACGATATGTAGCCTAGTGAACTAGACCAAATTCTTGCTTTGCAATGTTTGGTCTAGGCATGCTCCATTGGAACCTCCGCAGCTCCTACCAGGACTCTGGCTAGCCAATCACAGCTCTCTAGAGGGGTTTCAAACACATAAAGAGCTGTGATTGGTCCATAATGGTGGGCCAATCATAGTGCTCCATCTGCTTAGTGAACAAATCACAGAGCTTTATCCACTTTGTGGGCCTATCAGGGCAATCTATATGCCTGGTGGTTGGGATGATGCAACAGAGTGAAACAAGAGTATGTCACATTCATTGTCCAGTGGAATGCGGAAATCATTTGAAAGACAACGTCAATGGAGCGTGGCCAGACCAAATAATACCTTTAGTCAGGCTATTTGAACTGAGTGCCATTCTTAGCCAATAGCGTTGAACATCTGCTTACGTACAGATGTCAGTCACACAACGGGCACACGCTTTTCAGAACATGCCAAGCCAGATGCAGAGTTGGAGGACAAGAAAAATAAGAATAAACAACATAACATGATAATTATAATTGCCAGCTAGAGGTGCAGGTTCACGAACATGAGGTGTTGGTCGTGATGAGAATGGCTGAGGGCGCCATTCATTTCTGAGCCTCTAGATGGTGACATCGGATCTAAAGTATTCCGGATTGTAGCTTTAAAGATGGATGCCTTAGCTGATAGTCAATACCACACGCAAATCGTGCTACAACTAAGGTTCTGTACCCACGTAGCTAAGTTTCCTATACAAATGCTCTGCTGTCAGCATTTGCTTGTGTCACGAACTCCTCCAGCTGACTGCATTCCAATCATTCCTGCCACCAACGTGGCGGCTGACGTCATCACGCCGACACTACTTAAGGAAGTGCCGGCGTTTCATTCATTGCTCAGTCATCGTTCTCACCAGACTTTGTATCGAGTCTCCAGGCTTACCAGCCCTCTAAACCCTCAAGCTAAACCTACAGGAGATAACCACGCCGGTTATCTCCGTCACTCCGCGTCTGGGCAACAGAACTCTCAGTCACGCTTCAGATCTGCCAACGAACCTGACAGCTTGTGGACATAAATAACCAGGGTTTTAGGTTTCACAACGTCACTATTCGCCACATGCATGCTCGACATCACATGTGCGACCTGTGTTGCTTGTTCTAAGTCAGATTCTTAAATATTGGGCTAAAAAGTCTTATGGAAGTAGCTGAGAGTCATTGATAACACACGCTCTAAAAAAGGTGTTTATTTCAAAGTTTGCCCCTAAAAATTTGCCACTGAAGTCGACAACTTTTTGTTAGCTAAACTTTTGAACCAACGGGGGATTTTTAATTAGATTCTCAGTGACCAATCATTGGATGGATGTCTAGAACACATTAACCTTTGGGGTCAGCCTAATTCAAGATGTTCGCAACAGCTAACCAAAATGAAATGCAAAATGCCAACAACTCAGTGAATTTGACAAATACAGAGCTGCACAGTAATGTGGTGGCAGCCGAAACAACGTTGAGAATGGGGTTTGGTGGGATGGCCTTATTGGTCTATATGTGGTTGCTCTGGGATCAGCATAATCCCACCAGAGGAACGACAGCGCAAGGGGTGTGCAAGAAGTAAAATGCATTTTTTTTCTCTTTAATCATTACAATTATTTGAATTTAATGCTTTAGTAATTATTTATTTATTTATTTATTGAATTATTCTCAATTCTGATATTTTAATTATTACACAATAGTTATTAAGTGATGCAAACATGACAAAATAGCACGACCTTTTATTGGGAGACACTGAAAACCATCCATCTAAATTGCTTGTACATAATGCTCTATATCTATATCTCATCATTTTTTCCTCTCTTATGATGCGCTGTAAAAAATGGCACATTATAATGGGGAAACAATGAGCTAACTCATTGCAAATGAACAAACTAAATCCAGTGTAGTTTATTTAGGCTTTAGATGGTTTCTGTTTACTTGTTTCCTGATCTAAAACAAAAGCTTCTTAGATGGTATCAGTTCATCAAATGTATCTCAAAAGGCATGCACTGATGTGCTAGAAATGCCACGGTTGGGTGTTTGATGTTTTTAGTACGTGTTTCTGTTCTCTCTGAACCATCCGTAATTCCTAATTCTTTAGTTCCATCTCTCATTGTTTGTTGGTTTCTTCTGTTTTTTCCTCTTGCTCAGTTTACCACTCACCTGATTTATTTCAGTTTGTCAGCAAACTCCTCTTCATATCAGTAATCACCCTCCCGGCATATTTAACCCCTTAGTTCTCTTAGTCTACAATGGATGCGGACCAGTTTCTGTACATCTTCTGGGCGGGCTGCCATTTCTACCGACTGTCTCTGTACATTTGTCCCCACACGAGAACCAAACTATTATACAATTTAAACATTATGTTTGAAGATAAACCTGTAAAAATAATGTCAACTATCACACACTGAGAACTGATATTGCTGTCATTATTAATAAAACAAAAGATGAAAAAAAAAATAACATGTGTTTTCTGTATCTGCGCTGTACTGAACCTTAGCTGGTGAGAGTGCTATGAATGGACTACATGTGTTTTGGTCTTTGTGGAAGCCGTACGAAAACCGGATCGCATCCGTTTCATAATCGATGTGAATAACCGCCATCCAGTCCCAGGGGTGGACTAGCCATCTGGCATATTGAGCAAGTCGAGGTGGGCCGTTTACTCAACGTGGGCACTCACTTCCCCAAACCAGTCCAGTCCAGCCCTGTCCAGTTCTTGTCTGCTTTTCCTACATACATAGTTCCTTGATGTTTCCACTGGTTGTTCTCTTTGTTTAATTTTTGTTTCTTGCTGCCATGTCACTCTCTTGATTCGCTATTAAAGTAAAATAAATAAATAAATAAAAAATACAAATTTACTACTTAGTTAGTTTTTGGTCCATTTTAATCCCCTCATTCTGGAAATTTCCAACGCTACAAATGAACTGCCTTCATTTTCAAAAAGCATTTTCTCTCGGTTTTTCTAATATATTTTTGCTTCTCACACTGAGAGCTTTCTCAGGAATGAAATTAAAATTCTTATAAAAGGCAAGATAATTTTAGTTTTTTTTCTCAGAAATAAATTTAAAAAAGAAACCAAGGATCACCATGTCCTGGGTGAGAATAAACACATGCGTGCTTTCTTTCACCTCAAACAAACATCAAACTGCCTCGAAGCTTTAACAAAAAGAACAGGTACCCCCCACCTGTCTTAGTCATCCCAGGTCCTCCCGCCCTCCCTGAGCCAAGACAGAGTCGTTAAATGTTAGAAGATCAAACAAATCTTCCCAGTCGGGCTGCGTTTCTTTTGGTCTATTCGCAGCCGATAAACCGACCAGGTGGCAGCATGGGCCGTGTATACAGTGTCAACAGGATGTGTATAGGCAACACGACCTGAGTGAAATCAAAACAAAACATTGTGGATATTTCAAACAGGGAGGAAGGATTTTTGTTCCTGTTGGGACTGACAGGTTTACTGCAGGAGTAATCGCCTCTCGCTGCTAAATGTTTCTGTCTCTGTGTGTAAATCATTCTGAGTTATGGCCACATTGGGATTTTTCACAGCAACTCACCTAATTGTGCGATCAGATTGCCAGCGACTTTGAACAAATAGCGCTTGTTAAAAATAATAATAGTAGTTGTTTTATTTGATTTCGTGGACACTGTTTTCAGGGAAGCTAAATTCAGACAATACATTTCTGTAATGAGAGACTCACTCCAAGGAATAGGCTAACCTCAATCCAATTTTTACTCCTGTAAGCCTATTAAGCCCACCTGAGCATGCAAAGAGCAATTGTCTTCCTAAATTAGTGAACCACATACAGTAAGTCTCATTAAACACAAAATTGC